AGCGCCCACCGGCTGCGGCCCCACGAGCTCAGGGGGGTCTGGGGGGGAAAAGGGGGCGAGGGGGGGGCGTGCGGGGCGCTGGGGAGGTGGTTGGGGGTGTTGAGGTGTCGGGGGTTGGCGTTGTGGGAGTGGATGTGGGGGGAGTGACAACCTCCGGAAAGGGGGGCAGGGTTAGGGACAGGGACCCCTGAAGAGGGAGGCAAAAACACCCCCCAAAATGGGACAATGACACCCCCAAAATGGGGGCAGGGACCCTTGAAAAGGGGGGCAAAACCACCCCCAAAATGGGGGCAGGGACGACCCCAAAATGGGACAATGACACCCCCAAAATGGGGACATGGATGCCTGAAAAGGAGGACAAAAACCACCCCAGAATGGGGGAAAAATACCCCTAAAATGGGACAATGACACCCCTAAAATGGGGGCAAAAATACCCCTAAAAGAGGGACAAAAACACCCCCAAAATGGGGGCAGGGACCCTTGAAAATGGGGACAAAAACAGCCCCAAAATGGGGAAAAGGACCCCTGAAAATGGTGACAAAAACACCCCTAAAATGGGAACAAAAACATCCCTAAAATGGGGACAGGGACCTCTGAAAAGGGGGACAAAAACACCTCCAAAATGGGGACAAAACCACCCCCAAAAGGGGGACAGGGACGGCCCCAAAATGGGACAATGACACCCCCGAAATGGGGACAAAAACACCCCCAAAATGGGGAAAAGGACCCCTGAAAACGGTGACAAAAACACCCCTAAAAGGGGGACAAAACCACACCCAAAATGGGGACAAAGACCCCCCAAAGTGGGGACAAGGACAACGAGCTCTGGTGGCTCCGGGGCGTGGCCCTGCTGGGGGACACGGAGGTGACACGGAGCTGGGACAGTGACACGGAGCTGGGACAGTGACACGGGTGTCACACGGATGTCACACGGATGTGACGGTGACACGGAGCTGGGACTGTGACACGGATGTCACACGGATGTGACATGGATGTGACGGTGACACGGAGCTGGGACAGTGACATGGGTGTCACACGGATGTCACACGGATGTGACGGTGACACAGAGGTGACGGTGACAGATGTCACACGGATGTGACGGTGACACGGAGCTGGGACAGTGACACAGATGTCATACGGATGTGACGGTGACACGGAGCTGGGACAGTGACACGGATGTCACGCGGGGACCTGGACGTCACACAGTGTCATGCGGTGACACAGCTGGTGACATGGATGTCACACGGGGACAAGGACATCACACGGTGTCACAGGGACACGGATGTCACACGGTGTCACACGGGGACAAGGATGTCACATGGATGTCACAGCTGGTGACACGGATGTCGCACAAGGACAAGGATGTCACATGGTGTCACAGGATGTCACAGCTGGTGACACGGATGTCACACAGTGTCACAGCTGGTGACACGGATGTCACACGGGGACAAGGATGTCACACAATGTCACACAGATGTCACAGCTGGTGACACGTCAGTGTCACACGGGGACACGGATGTCACATGGTGTCACAGGATGTCACAGCTGGTGACATGGATGTCACAGAGGGACAAGGACGTCACACGGTGTCACAGGATGTCACACGGTGTCACAGTTGGTGACGGATGTCTGGTGGTGACACAGCTGGTGACACAGATGTCACATGGGGACAAGGATGTCACACGGTGTCACAGTCACACGGTGCCACACAGGGACAAGGACGTCACATGATGTCACACGGATGTCACACAACGTCACACGGTGTCACAGCTGGAGACACATCACACGGTGTCACACGGGGACAAGGACGTCACACAGATGTCACATGCAGTCACAGCTGGTGACACGGATGTCACACGGGGACAAGGACATCACATGGGTGTCACACGGATGTCACACAGATGTGACATGGATGTGACGGTGCCACGGAGCTGGGACAGTGACACGGATGTCACACGGGGACCTGGACGTCACATGGTGTCACAGGATGTCCCAGCTGGTGACACGGATGTCACACGGTGTCCCATGGATGTCCCCAGTTGTCCCCAGTTGCTCCCCCTTCCCCCCCCAATAAAGTGCCCCTGGCGGTGACCCCGCAGTGACCTTTGGTTTTGGGGGGGGTGGACACACAAAGGGGGGCTTGGGGACCCCCAAAAATGGGGAGTGGGACCCCAAAAATGAGGAGGGGGGAGATGGGGACCCCAAAATGGGGAGGGGGGACATTGAGGACCCTAAAAATGGGGAGGGGACCCCTAAAATTGGGGAGAGGGAATTTGGGGACCCCAAAAATGGGGAGAGGGGACATTTAGGACCCTAAAAATGGGGAGGGGGGACATTGGGGACCCTAAAATTGGGGAGAGGGGATTTGGGGACCCCAAAAAATAAGGTGGGGGGACATTATGGACCCTAAAAATGGGGAGAGGGGATTTGGGGACCCTACAAATGGGGAGAGGGGAGATTGGGGACCCTAAAAATGGGGAGGGAGGACACTGGGAACCCTAAAAATGGGGAGAGTGACCCCTAA